CAGCAAGGGAAGCATTAAACGTCGGAAGGTAAAAGAGGTTTCCGATATTTCAAAAGGCATCTTTTTAAATTGGTATTGTTTCTCACCGACGGTAAACGCCGTTTTTTCTCCGTCTTCTCTTTCGCGCACCAGTTACCAGTATCCCGATTGCCTATTAAGAATCTTGAATACACTCAACTGTTGCAACCGATCAAACATGTCAGTCACTGGTGGCACTGGAACAAAGCGACTCAAGATTACATTCAGCCTTCGGAACTCCACACAGAAATGATACTTCCCAGTATCCTGCTTCATCAAGATAACTAGTGATTTGTATGGGCTATGCGTCTCGTCAGTTACCTCCACGTCCAGCATCTCCTGTACTGGCCTCTTCGATTCAGACTAAGGTGGATGGGTGTGCTTCGAGGTCGCTGGGGCCAGTACAGGATGATGTGCCCGCTTGGGTCGCAGAAGCAATACGAACTGCCGTCATCGGTAAAGGGGTGATACTTAGTGATCAGTGACTGCAAGGCGTGGCTTAAGTGTAACGTGGCAACAACAGAGTGCTAAGGTATCGTTCCTCCACGGTCAATGAGTGGAAATAACCCGTATTCAGTCAACTAGTTCCCTCTTTTTACATCGACTACAGCCTCGTTGAACCCTAGGAAATCTGATCCCAATATGATTTGTTTAGCATCTGGTGACACGACGAAGACGCGTTAGTTTCCGTCCCTCGATTCCCACGATGTGTTCTACCATTCCAACAATGCACACTGAATGAACGTCAACACCTCTCACGAACATGGAAGCTAACAGAAGCTTTTCGCCCCGCAGATGGTTGATCAGTAACAGTTCCGCACCCATATCGACCAGTCACCGTTCCATCATCCCGACTACTTCTATCATTGCTTCAATCAACCCCTACTTATCGCCCCGAGCACACATTCCCCGATCTGGGGAGAAAAATGAGGTCGGATGCGTTCATTTGGTACATGGGCAACAGCACCGCTCACCGGACATCGTCTTTTCCAGTGTCCCGGTTTCTCCTAAAGGAAACAACGTCCCCTTGTTCGCTCCTCAGAGCGCTGAGTGCAAAGTCCATTAACATCTTGCAGGTTCCATTATCCGTACCAATTTATCCAACCGCTGCAGCTCCGCGAGTGGTGCGTCGCCCAGCTCTCGAGTCACCTACACCAACTCCTCCAGCAGCATTCCCCGGGTAGCTTTCGATATCCGAACTCGTTCCGCGATTGGTTGTAGGAGACCGATTATGAACTAATCCACCAATAATTGCTATTTGGATGCTTCATCCATTCCCGGCAAGGCATGTTCCAGCAAGCTCCTGAGGTGAAAAGCAAACACGTGGGGATCCACCTATTCACCATGTTGTGCTGCCTTGGACCACCGTATCGCCTCGTGGCGGTAGGCCGTGCTGTCCAATCCGGGAACCGAAGTATCATTCATGGCGCCCCACTCCAACTTGACGGGGTCTCTTCGCGTCGCCTCTAAGACTGCCTTCGAAATGCAATTGAGGAAACTCAGCATGAACACATACTTCGCCCCGTCGGTCTTGACTCCAACAGCCCCCGCCACCTCCTCGAAGTCCTCCAAGAAGGTCCTCACTTCCTCTTCTTGAAACGTCTCTGGCCATGGGATCTTCATGATCTGCTTTGATTGGTCACGGCACCAATGTAGGAACCCAAGGTGCGGACGGGATTATTTACTGTGTTATGAAGTTTGGTTAACTGCACGGGTTCTGACCAACGAAACTCCTACTCATCTACACACTCCATGTTGCAGGATGCATGGCACGCGTTGCTTCTGTGTCTAGTGCTTATGTGGCGGGCATACGTCTGCGGTTCCAAAGTGTTCATTCCGTTCCGGGGAGTTATTATAGCATGCGGTTGGCTTATTACCGTTTGGCTCCCTTGCACTTCAATACTACTGCTAACTAGTGCAGCGGTATCTGCCTTCGGTAAACCACAGAATGACCAGTTTGTGTGCAAGCGCAGCTGACATATAATGTTGATGATCCCAAAGTAACTCAGAGTCTCTAGCCAGCTCATTAGCCCTCAAAAATGTTGAATCTAGGTTTAGACAGACAAGTTATTATTTTTTGTTGGGCTTAGATGAACAATGTTTTATAACCGGAAAAAGCTAGTGCCTGACAACTCCAGTAGGATGCTAGGGGCTAGTATTGCGTAACCGATAGTAAAAGGGACAAGAAAAACCGAAAGTATTGGTTTTAGGTGAATCACTAACGATTCACATCAACACACAGGCTGCTTCCGTTCTCTTCCCCACTAAGTTGCGGAGACGATGGTAAGCGCACTTTTGGTTGTCAAATTTCATTTTGCTATTGACACAGACTAAACCGCGTAAAGCAAGTCGGATGGCGTCCCTTCAGGTCTTATTTAGAAAAGCGTAGTAGTGTGAGGGGTGTGTATAACGTAACACGGAAGTATGTTTCCTATCCATGATACTCTAAGACATTTTGTTGTCAATCAAATCGACTGTAAGGCGTGGCACATTTGAGGTGGTAGCCTCCCAAGTTAGCATTGGGGCTAGGTTGCAAGTGGTGCGAATTCGTTGAGTAAAACTTTTATTGCATATTATTCTCTTCGTCAACCAACTTTGCAGTTTATCACGCCCGTGCACCTGGACTGGTGAAAACCGCTTTGTTGTTAGTGAAAGTAGAGACATGCCAAAAATTTCCTGTAGGATATCCTTCCATGAAAATCATGAAGGAATTATGCTGAACCTAGTCAAGGAATTACGGCGGTGGAACAAGTTTGATGTATGAGCAGCTGGTTAAAAAGGCCCCATTCCAGAGTGTGTAGTCAAACGAAAGCTCGATTACTCACAAGTGCATAAGCCGAATTTTTACAAACCGGCATATTGATTCTTTATATTATTACAGTTTAGGCATAGCGTTTAGGATGACTGAGAGAAAAATGAGGGCCTTAAAAGGCAGTCACAGCTGCACTCCAATTCTGGCTTGCACGTATGGCAGCTGACTATGCTGGGTTGAATGCTCATCACAGTTATCCTCGTCCTACTATATATAGTAGTCGTTTTCTGGGAAATTCCGTGGAGTTAATCAGCTATGAACAGTGGCCTAAAGCATTTTGGTCGTAACCATTCGTTCCGAAGGACTTCAGGGATTTAAGTTCGCTATTTTAGGATCAACTGACATGTGAAAACAAGGTAAAGATCAACCCTACGAGTCCCATTGGTACTTCGCCTTTTGAAGATGTGTGGACCAACATGATGGTTTATTTCATGCATCTCGACGAAAGTTTTAGTCGTCGGGCGTACACTAGCACAGTGGATGTCACCAAAGGAGATACCACAGATGATCGTTGGAGGATTTATCATTTCAACTTGTGCAGTGATTAGATTAACAGTTCTTGATCCTTTAACTGTTTACATTTATTAAACCATCTGTCTGTGTGGTACTACTAAGATATGACTTGGTTATAATTGCCACATCTCCCATTTGTACATGTGATAGGCAATCCACTATTGCGGTCAAGTTTGACAAAATGTATATGATAGTACCGCAATTAAGTAGCTCAGCTCACAGTTGCAGTCAATAATACAGTTTGTTAACAAAAATGGTGCCCACGACTCTTTGGAATTCATCAAGCATTTATTTGGATAGCATAATTCGGCCCCACTTGGCACAATAATATGGGGTCCCCTGCTCCTCGCCCATAGTTTTTATTTCCTCAAATGTGCATAAACGCTTTCTTTCGGGCTACTCATAAGTAGTAAATTCAGTTTTTGTGGGGCATGGCTCAAATTAACTAAGGCCATCACGATTCAGCTTCCGTAAGCTCCAACATGCACTTACCAGAAGGTTTTGCATCCCATATACAACTTTCGCGCACGTCATATCAAAACTGGCGATTCCAGCTTCTGTTCCTCCCAGAAATACCACTTAACTCCCTAGATTAATTAGCTCGATTACGATGCCACTGATCCCGTAATCTAGCGTTTCCCATAGTAGCAGTGGTTGCAGTAATGATAGTAACATATATTGCATTGGTTGGCGCGGTGACTTAAGTTCTCAGCCCTGTCCTACAAAGCACCAACCATCCTCATATTAAAGGAATGTGCGTCATATCCCTTGACTCAGCTCATTACGTATCATGGTATAACATGGACTTTGCCTGCGCCTGCGTACACCCAATTACTAAAGTTTGTGTTGATTGCTAACAGGTTGCACACATCGTCAAAGAGGCTTCGATTAAAGAAGATCCTTAACGCCTTGGTACCTCGTTCAGAAATAATAGCTGACTATCCAAGCTGTACCACCCGTACAGATTCGTTAGCATTAGTGATGAAAAAAATAGATTCATATGTACACAGTCAACTTAAGTTCTACCAAGAAGGTTCTGCTTTCGGGTAGGGATTCGTTACGCAGAAAGAAGTTTGACCATTGAACTCCGATAGGTCACTAGCAACTACCCCTGCCATTCCTTTAAGGCAGGCCCTAAAGGAAACTTACCAACCTGTGGCCTTAAGGGTTGTGGAGATGATAGAAAACAATCGGAATATCTAAAAGCGATTGGAACACCACAAGACACTCGAAAAATTTGTACGTCACTGTTGCTACGGATCGAGGGGCAATCCACAGTCGCATCTTATTAAAACGTGCAAAAATTCGAATCAGCTGTTCAGTGTACGGAAGAAATTGATGAAAAGTTTTAACAAGCCTGCCTGTTAGGCGCTAGGGCAAGGCAGCTACGTATGAGTAGAAACCCCAGGGATGCAAAACCTTTAGAAACTCCTTCACACTCGACTTTCCAGATTTGCTAAACATCACAACCACCTGTGTATATGTGTGTATTTTATATTGATCTAATTTTAAGGTCACGTCTGCTATTATTCAGCATATGTAACATACTCAGTCTATGCATTGCAATTTAACGTCATTGACTCGATGCTAAGACGTATGTACCCCCAAAAGCTTTAACTACCTAACCCAGTTGGCTTGTTTTGCTGTAAATCCACAGGATCATGCGGAGCACTGGACTCGTATAGGTCGTGAGGTGACGAAACCAAGAAGTTACTCTGTTTATGACAAAATTGTGGAGCAGCATCTGTCGGTAAGTTTATTTGGATACATAAGACCAACACCTTGTTCCTTTTTGCATCCTCTAAGTTTGTGATGGGCCTAATATTGTAGCTGCTGTTCGAGGTACTCCAGTGCATTAATAAAGCCATGCCAAAGATAAAGTCAGTGTTTTCGCCTTGACAAATTTAGAACAACTTTCATTTTTTAAGAAGTGTTCAGTTAACAGCGCAGAGCAGCTTCAATTGCAGTACAGCTAGGTCCCTACAGGTATAGCCTTGCTATTTTCTGCTTGCTTTGAGTTTACGCTTAAAATTAGTCGCTGTTTCTGGCCTACAGATTAGTTTACTTGATAGAACAGTTTGAAATAAACTTGACAAATTTTTCACCTCCAAACGACCGGATCTTCGTAAACCTCGTCATGAAGATTACACAAACAAACTGTAAATGCGAGCGTAAGGCTCTACTTGTAAAATGGTTCATATCAGTCAAATCCGTAGGAAGGTCAGTGTACGAATGGCAACGGGATCCGTAAACCGACAGTGAAATGAAGTACGGATTGGTGACCTCATCATAATGCAAACAAGAACATAGATGAGTGTAGATGAAAAAATTATGGGTTATGTTAAAATCTTTTTCGACATGCGTGTGCTATTTGAACAAATGGTACATCGATAAGTGATCTGGTCTTGAGATCCTGCATCTGACATAAGCAGCGTTGGGCCTCTGGTAGGACTTATTGCTATCCGAAAGGCTTTTGAACTGAATGATCATTCACCGGCTCCAAACGGGTGCGAAATACTTATCTCAACTTACTACCCTAAGCAATGTTCCCCTAAGAAAACCTACATACTTCAGCTTATGCTAGCGGGTGCCAATTTCTCGCTCATGCTTTCACGACGATTTAGTTACCAGCCACAACGCCAACTTTATAATCATATTGCACACACTTAACCACCCTCCCCTTGTGTTATTCATCCCTAATGTTAGCTGAGCCCCCAATGGTGAACAACCATACCTCCGCAGATGAATTCCTCCTCTAACATAGGTGAATTAAACCACGCAATGATTCGTAGAGAACTGCAAGTCGCAAACTCTAACATCCTCGCTTCTGCAACCTGGAACTCAATTCGATCCAGTAACGTACCATGTGCACACGTTATCGCAGATCAGTCAGTGGAAGCTATCGCAGGCTACGAGGCGACCTGATTATGATGTACCTGATTCTGCGAGACCCACATCATGTGTGCCGCCCTTTATTGCAACTCAGCAGCAATACAAACCTGAGGGGCCACTCATTAAAACTCGCAGAACAATACAGTCGTCTGGAGTGCCGCAGAAATTTCTTTTCCATCCGTGTCTGTCACCCGTGGAATGCTCTCCCAGAACCGGTCGTCTCTGCACCGACACTAACAATATTTAAAAGACGGTTGGACGATGCACTCATCCACTTACACTTTGTTGCTTAGCACTATGTCTCCATCGTACTACTGGAGTTTACCATGGAATTAGTTGTTGTTACCTGTGGGTGTTGTGAATCTAAGTGGATCGCAGGACTGCAGCGAAGCAAACGATAAGTCCTTATTTTCGTATTTAAAGTATTAACTATTTTACTATCCTTTTCATCATAATTGTTATGTTGATATCCCCACCAACTATCCAACGGGGCTTGTAAAGCAATGCGTCTTAACCCGTATAAATTCATGGTTCATTGTTCATTGTTCAAACTGAACTTTCACCTACCTTAGAGACTCTTGAAGCTGATGCCTGCTGTTTGACTGCCATATGACTCCAGGATTCCAACACAGTCTACCTGTTGTCGTCACCACTTTATCTATACACTCGCTTCTATCTCCACCGTTTTGGACAAGCTGGTGTTGGGATCGCAATAATTGCTAGAGCCGAGGCCGCTCTCCTTGGCTGGATTCCAAGTAACATTCGTTTTTAGGTTATGAGGCTCCGTGCCTCTTACAGTTAGCAGATATCCAGTCAACAAGTGTGCTCTTTTTGTGATCTACCTACGCACTCATTGACTGCAACTTGGACACAGTCGAGGACCACTTCCATCAAATTCGTCGTGATCTGCTCCTAAGAGCGTCTAAAACGAGCACCAGCATTATGGTAGGAGAGTTCAACTCGCGTGTCGGTCCGTTGCTACCATGTGAATGCCACCTCCGAGGACAGCAAGAATATGATGTTGCTCTTACGGGCAAAGGAAGCAGACCAGCACTGGCTTTCGTCCCCTTGGGCGCCACTATGCCACCAGTTATCTTCCATCACCAACTTACCGTTAACCGCAAACTGATAACATAGCCATGATTCGGAGATGCTGTGATAGCAAACGAGATTGCCACTCCAACTGATCAGATTGTACTGAAACCATACGTAGGTGTGTGCGACAGTTTGCATGCGTTTCAGTGGATCACCTAAGGCCTAACAAGCCTGACTGAACACTTGCAAGTTGCATGATCCAACGGTGAAAATAGATTGCCAACAGAGACTTCGTTGAAGCCACGCTCTCTCCTCCATGGAAATTGACTAGCATTGGTCAGGCTTGCAATAACCTATGCTGAACACATTTTCGTCCAGATGCGGCTTCACATTCCGCACAGGCAAAAACTAGGCATCGGCAACATTCTCAAAACTGCTAGGTCGTCGATAAGCTGTACTCGCAGAAACACAGCATGACGAACTACGTCGGTCTATCTCTCAATAGCTGAAGACAATTCCTCTGTGACCGTGAATACTGGTGGTAAAAGCGAGTGGCTCAGACGGGTCGCTGCATGGGTTGGAAACTGCCTCATCAAGGCGGCCGGTCGCAGTTCACACGCTATCAGTCAGACAATTTGAGTAAGACCTCGAAAATCATCAACCGGCGCGTGCTTAAATCGCTGAGCCGAACACTGTCCTTCAAATTGATGACCCAGCGTAGCACTCTGTGACACCTCAAGATCTATCGGATTGTGTTTGGCCTGTCCCCACTGATCCTTCTACCGAAGCACAGATTCTAGACGCAATCCAACCTTTAAAACATCACGAAACTCCCGACCCTGAGAGCGTCCCGCCCGCTCTATTCAAAGATGACGAGAATTTGCTTATCGACAAAACCCTGCCATTGTTCACGAAAGTTAGAACCGGCGAAAACTTTCCCGACACACAGGAGATTAGTCATTGTCACGATTCACAAGAAACGCTCCCGTAACGATTACACCAACTCTCCTGGAAATTCATTCTTCTCTGTTGCGTCCAAGATCTTTATATATGTTCAAATTCGTATACTTTGAACGAATAAGAAGGGTTTTCCGACAGAAACAAGCCAGTTTTTGTCCAACTCGAGATTGCATACATTAAATATGCTCGTATGGTCATCTTTCCGAGTGCCATCACGTGCGCCGATGGTTAATAATCGTAGTAACCTTAGACATCCCAGCAGCATTTCACACAACAGCTCGATTTGTGCTGTGGAAAGCGTTTACTCTGAAAGGGTGTGCCCTACATGATTTCGGCAAACAGTACAGCCAGACGTAGCGTAAAACTAGGGTCTAACACAAGTTCTATTTGACTTCGATGTCACCTGCGACTTTCGCCAAGGTTGTCCTATCTCACATTTCCTCTTTATTTTGCCATCGAAGATGTCTAAAGACTATTAGAAAGGGTCACTAGCTGCGACAGACTCGTAGATTTGCATTACGCTAATGATAGCACATTGTTTGGAGGTGATTCACAAGCCGTCCAAAACCATTCGAAGCGCTTAGGCATTGCGATGTTTCACCATAACAAATGTAGAACACCACTGCCTGTGATCATCCTCACTACGGCCGATGACGTACTGGGAACACACACTTGCTTCTCTTAGATAATGAGCTGCATCACGGAAAAGGGTGGTGTTGGAGACGAGGTTCCGTAAAAGACCAAGCTGAGACACCTATGGCGTCGTCGCTATGTCAAACTAAGGCTCAAGGGTAAGTGCACAATGCCTCCGTCCCTACGGTCTCCTTTTACAGTTATGAGACATAAGCTGTTCCCTCAGAAGGCATAAAACAGTGTGCAGTCTTTAAGAACCATTGTCTGAAAAGGATTGCTCGTATGTGGTCATAGCATTACGCAAGCAATATGGAAGTCCTTGACCGACTGCTCGGAATGAACAGTCACTGCCTCCGCAACGTGTGCATTGGCTGGGTCACGTATTGCGCATACCAATCTATCGCCTTCTCCGCGGAACGTTATTTGAGCTTCCCGGAAATGTCTGGAAAAGTACCTCGGTGGACAACCAATGAGGTGGAAGGAATATATTGAACGTATCTTCAAGATTAACATCGGTCGTGCCAGTCCAAGTTCTAGGCTGTGGATTAGGTGATGCTGGTTTATACTACTACTACCCCCAACAAACATCAGTAGCTCCAGCAGTGCCCTAATGTATCATCTACTATCTATCGTTCAAGCGAAAAATATGCCAGGCAGCTTTAAATGACGTATGTGAAACGCAAATGGAACTGCTTATTAAACTCATTAGCAATTGAAAAATGATCTTTTCATTCCGTTTTGTGATGGTTCGGATCACAGACTGCCTGTACTCGGATTCATGAACATAAGTACACTAACATATATTGTTAGGTCCATCATTTTTGCCACCAATAAGGTTAAACCATACGAAACACAATTTGGAACAGCATTCCATGGATACTACACAGGATTTTGCGATACTTTACTGTTTGGCCAACTTTATCTTGTGGCCGCTGCTACTGACGTGATGGCTAAGGGAAGCGGCCAAGTTGGTTGTTTTTTGTTGATCTAACATCTCATCTTATGGACACTTTGGAAAAGTCGCTACTGTCCGTTGTGCACTCCTGTGGTTTTTAGTCTAAATTTATGTGACTAATGGAACTGGCCTTTTACATTCGCAACAATCATTAAATGTGAGTTAATAAGCAAAAATTGAGCAGACGTCTGCGAAGATGGTAAGGCTTGGATGGCGTGCTTCGCATGAGACTTTACATAAGCGTTGAACAGTTGAAATGGTTGGAATGTTCGAAT